GTAGTCGTAGTCGTAGTCGTAGTAGTAGTAGTAGTAGTAGTAGTAGTAGTAGTAGTAGTAGTAGTAGTAGTGGTAGTGGTCGTGGTAGTGGTGGGAGTAGTAGTAGTAGTAGTAGTAGTAGTAGTAGTAGTAGTAGTAGTAGTAGTAGTAGTAGTAGTAGTAGTTAGTAGTTAGTAGTTAGTAGTTAGTAGTAGTAGTAGTAGTAGTAGTAGTAGTAGTAGTAGTAGTAGTAGTAGTAGTAGTAGTAGTAGCCGCAGCAGCAGCAGCAGTAGTAGTAGTAGTAGTAGTAGTAGTAGTAGTAGTAGTAGTCGTAGTAGTAGTAGTAGTAGTAGTAGTAGTAGTAGTAGTAGTAGTAGTAGTAGTAGTAGTAGATGTCTTTTGGGAGCCTCTTGGAGGCCTTTTGGGGCGTCTTGGGGGCCTCTTGGCGGCCCCAGGAGCTTCTAGGAGCGTCTTGGGTGCCTTGGGGGAGCCTCTTCGGGCCTCTTGGGAGCCTCTTGGAGGCCGTTTGGGGCGTCTTGGGGGCCTCTTGGCGGCTCCAGGGGCTTCCAGGAGCGTTTTGGGTGCCTCGGGGGAGCCTCTTGGGGCCTCTTGGGGGCCTCTTGGGGGCATCTTGGGGGCCTCTTGGAGGCCTCTTGGGGCCTCTTGGGGCTCTTTGGGAGGGGTCTGGGAGGAATCTTGGGGCCATCTGTCGGGCGATCGATCACAGATGGGGCGAGCACTTTTCTCCCCCCCCCGTCGGGGCCAGAATCCTCGTGAGGGGTGTCGAATTTTTTTGGGAGCCTCTTGGATGCCTTTTGGGGCGTCTTGGGGGCCTCTTGGCGGCCCCAGGGGCTTCTAGGAGCGTCTTGGGTGCCTTGGGGGAGCCTCTTCGGGCCTCTTGGGAGCCTCTGGGAGGCCGTTTTGGGCGTCTTGGGGGCCTTTTGGCGGCTCCAGGGGCTTCCAGGAGCGTCTTGGGTGCCTCGGGGGAGCCTCTTGGGGCCTCTTGGGGCCTCTTGGGGGCATCTTGGGGGCCTCTTGGAGGCCTCTTGGGGCCTCTTGGGGTTCTTGGGAGGCGTCTGGGAGGAATCTTTGGGCCATCTGTCGGGCGATCGATCACAGATGGGGCGAGCACTTTTCTCCCCCCCCCCGTCGGGGCCAGAATCCTCGTGAGGGGTGTCGAATTTTAGCCCTCCCAGGAGTCGAAAAAGACCCCTCCAACGACCCGCGGAACGCCCTCTCCAGGCCCAGGGGGAGGGGGTAGGGGGAGGGGTAAACCCCTCCCCGAAGGGGAAGAAGGGGGGTTGAGAACAGAGAGAGCTCGCTAAACCACTCACGCCCAAAGGGCTGGTGGGATTTGGGGGACAAGGAGGAGTGGTGAGGAGGTGGGCGAAGGAGCAAGGAGGACGAGCAAGAGGATGTGGTGGAGGAGGGAGGAGGAGCAGGGGGAGGCGAGCAGGAGGCCAGCTCTCCCCCCCCCCTGCTCGCGGAAGCCTCGTCGCAGGGGTCGTTCGAATGTCTTGGAGCCTCCTCGAGCCGTCCCGGGGCCAGCGTGGCGCCGTGCGGATGGTGGTGACGGCCTGTCTGCGTTCAGGACCCTCCTGGGCCCTTCTCTCCAGGCCTCCTAGATGGGGTCGGAGTAGATGGGGTCGGAGGATCGCTCCGCATCGCCGATGCATCGCCGATGCGGCTCGCTGCGCAGCCCGATTTGCTTCACGCCGACGTAAAGTCACCCGTTGTGACCAAAACGGCGACGCAAGGATCTCGGAGCTTCTCGAGGCTCTCCTGGGTCCTCTTGGAATTCTCTTCTTGTGGCTCTCCCGGGGTCCTTGAGGTCCTCTTTGAGGAAATCGCCCTCTGCGATCAAAACTGTGACGCCTTTCAGTAAATCGCCTGGCTGCGAGCTGCCATGCAGGTCCTTTCCACTTTTGATTCCGCCCCAGGGTGACCACGAGGTTGCCCCAGGGCGTTTTCTTAACCTCATACGACTTTTCTCGGCCTTCGGCCGAGGGCGCATAGGCCGTATAGCAGCTCGTTGTCATCAACTACGGTCGGACCGAAGTGTAAGATCGAGGTCGGTTCGGGGAGGGTACCCTCATGTTCTTCGTGTTTGCCGTATGGTTATGTGCACCTTGGGCAAGGGTATACCCTCGGTGATCTTAGGGATATTCCTCTGCCCCTAGGCCTGGCTTTACAACATAAGCTTGCTACGCGAGGAGGAGGAGGAGAAGGAGGGGGAGATGGAGATATGAGGAGGAGGAGGAGGAGGAGGAGGGGCATAGGAGGAGTAGGAGGAGGAGATAGGAGAATGATGATGAGGAGGAGGAGAAGGAGGAGGAGGAGTAGGGTTGGAGTCCTCTTGGGGGCCCTTCGCGAGGCGCGGCGGCGCCGCCTGCAGGAGGCCTTCGGCTTCCGCTGCCTCTGCCGCCGCTGCGGGCGCGACGAGGCGCGCCACCGGGCCCGGCTCGCGGCGCAGCGGCGCCGCGCGGGAGGCGCCCGCGCGGGCGTTCGGCGGGGTCGACCTTCTTCTCCTCGTCCCCCTCCTCCTCCTCCTCGTTCTCCTCCTCCTCCTCCTCGTTCTCCTCTCTTCCTCCTCCTCGTCCCGTTCCTCCTCCTCCTCTCCTCCTCATCCTCCTTGCTCTCCCTCTCTGTCCTATCTACTCCTCCTCCCTCCTCTCCTCCCTCCTCCTCCTCCTACTCCTACTCCCCTCCTCCTCCTCCTCCTCCTCCTCCTCCTCCTCCTCCTCCTCCTCCTCCTCCTCATCGGTTGTTGAAAGTCTGCTTTCAGCGCCTTCCTGCTTCGGTGATCGAGTGGCTTCGCCTGTTCCGTCCCCCTGGAGGGGGCGGGCGGACACCCAATTCAGTTTCAACGCCTCCCTGCATCATGTTTCTGCCTACTTCTTCCGACCGATGGGCAAGAGCGACCTTTCGGCGAAGTGACCTTTGGCGCGGGCCCAGCGCGGCCTCCCGATCGTTGCGTCCGCTGCGGCAGCAGTGGCCGGCTCGGGTTCGGATCCCTCGCACGCCCCCCCGAGGGGGCGCGCCAGAGGTCTCTCGTCGCTCTTGCGTGCAGCCGACGGGGGCGGTCGGCTCGGGCACGGTCGAAACGGGCACGGTGGCAGCCAAGTGGGGGTGGTGCCGGTGGCCGCGTCTCGGGGTGGCATTTCGAGGCGCCTCGCAACGGCTGCGCAGATGTAACGCCTGGGGCGGGTCTGTGCCGCCATTCATGTTGCGAGGTCCGACTGCATGTGAATTCATGCAGGCACCTTGGGCCCCCCCCTTCGGGCTGTGTCGCCCAGGTGTTCTGTCCGGGCAACAAAAATGTCGTGTCGACTGGCGGCGACCCCAGCGCGGGCGTGGAAGTCGAAGGCCGCCTGTTGCCCAGAGTCGGGCGCAGCGTTTAACGATTTTGATGGGCAAATTGCCCCGGAAAGGGCTTAGGACCAGGGTCCTCTTTTAGTTGGTCAACCTCCTCGGCCTCGACTTGAAGAGGGCCGGCGGAATTGTTTTGCGATACATGACGAGGCGGGTCGGCATAGCTATTATTGAGGATGTCACGAGCGAAACGCTTATTTAATCGCTTCGTTCATTCTGCTGGCCCTTCTTGTCGCACCTCTGTCGATTTGGGGGTGTATTCCTGAGGGGGTCGCAGTGACTGTGGAGTTGGTTTCGGGGGTTCGTCGCATATTCTGGCGGGGATGTGCTGGGGCAATTGTGGGTGATCACGGGTCTGGTCGGTGATTTGTTGGTGCTGGTAAGGGGTTGATGATTTTGGATGGTCGCTGCGGGGCCTTGTCGCAGATCGGAGGTATTCGTCGCAAGTTTGAGCCTTTCCGTTGTGGATGGTGGTGTAAGAGGAGGAGGAGGAGGAGGAGGAGGAGGAGGAGGAGGAGGAGGAGGAGGAGGGGAGGGGGAGGGGGAGGGGGAGGGGGAGGACGAGGAGGAGAGTGAGGAGGAAGAGGAGGAGGAGAAGGAGGAGGAGGAGGAGGAGGAGGGAGGGAGGAGGAGGAGGAGAAGGGGGGAGGAGGAGGAGGAGGAGGAGGAGGAGGAAGAGGAGGATGAGGAGGAGGAGGTGATGAAGCCTCTTGGACTGTCTTGGCGGTCTATTGGGCCGTCTTGAGGCCATCTTTGGCGGCCTGGGGTGGGAGCGGGCGGGTCTTGCAGGGAAAGGGGCGCCTGCCAGGGCCCATTTCGATTCGATTCGAGGTTCTAAGTGTTCGAGGCTCTCCAGGAGGGCCTCTTGAGGCTCTCTTGGGGCTTCTTGGCGGCGTCTTGGGCCGTCTGGAGGCCATTTTGGGTGTCTTGGGACAATCGTGCGGGTCGGCAAGCTGGAAAGTTCAATTCGAGCTCCCCCCATGGGGCCCCTCGTAGGGCTGCCTGGGGCTGTCAGGGTTCCTCGTGGACCGCCTTGGGGCCCTCTTGGGCCGTGTTGGGCCCATGTTGGGAGTCTGTTGGGCCGTCTTGGGGCGATCTTGAAGCTCTCTTGGGCAATGTAGGTCGCCCTGGACCTCGAAACGTCGTATTGGGCAACGTGTACGATTTCTGAGGGGAATGGGACACTTTTTGCTTGTTGAGGCTCTGGGAGGGCCTCATGAGGCTCTCTTGGGGCTTCTTGGCGTCGTCTTGGGCCGTCTGGAGGCCATCTTGGACATTTTCGGACGATCTTGCGGGTCGGCGAGCTTGAGAGTTCAATTCGTGTCTCTCCGATGGGGCTCTTCTTAGGGCTGTCGTAGGCTGTCCAGAGGGCCTCGTGGGCCGTCTTGGGGCCCTCTTGGGCCGTGTTGGGCCCATGTTGGGAGTCTGTTGGGCCATCTTAGGGCGATCTTGGAGGCCTCTTGGGCAGTGTTGGTTTCGCTGGACCTCGAACCGTCGTATTGGGCAACCTGTACGTTTTCTGGAGGGAATGGGGCACCCTCTTGCGGCTCTCTTGGGGCTTCTTGGCGGCGTCTTGGGCCGTCTGGAGGCCATTTTGGGTGTCTTGGGACAATCGTGCGGGTCGGCAAGCTGGAAAGTTCAATTCGAGCTCCCCCCATGGGGCCCCTCGTAGGGCTGTCTGGGGCTGTCAGGGTTCCTCGTGGACCGTCTTGGGGCCCTCTTGGGCCGTGTTGGGCCCATGTTGGGAGTCTGTTGGGTCGTCTTGGGGCGATCTTGAAGGTCTCTTGGGCAGTGTTGTTCGCGCTGGACCTCGAAACGTCGTATTGGGCAACATGTGCGATTTCTGAAGGGAATGGGACACTTTTTGCTCGTCGAGGCTCGCTAAGAAAGCCTCTTGAGGCTCTCTTCGGGCTTCTTGGCGCCGTCTTGGGCCGTCCGGCGGCGACCGAGCGCCCATCGCACCGTCTCGAGCACGTCACGGGTCTCTCTTGGAGCGTTCCTGGGGCGCTCGGGAAGGCCTGGAAGACAGCGCCGAAGAGGAAAACCATCTCTGGGGCTCACCTTGTCGGGACTTGGCCGAGTACTTTTCGTTCGGGGGACCCCAGGGGCCGCCCCACGCGGGCGAACTAGCAAATTGTAAACCTGTTGCCGGGGTTCTTAGCACTCCTCTGGCCCGTTGGGCCGGCGATGTTTTCAGACTTTGTTCAGGATGTCTCGAGCGAAACGCTTGTTTTGTGTTATACATGGGTCTTTGTTTGAGGATGTCCCGAACGAAACGCTTGTTGTTCAGAATGTGTTGAGGATGTCTCAAGCGAGCCGCTTGTTTTGTGTTAAAGATTGTCTCTCTCCTGGAGACCAGAATTCAGAGGATGTCTCAGGTGAGATGCTTGTTTTACGTATGTTCTGCATTGGCATATGTATTTGGGGAGCGCTGTTCGCGTCCTCCCGCCCCCCAGGAGGCCCCAAGAGGCGTTCCTAAGGCCCCAGGGTGGGACGAACGTGAAAACACATGATTCCTCACGCCCCAGGGCGGGACAAATGTGAAAGCACATGGGTTCCTGACGCCCCAAGGCGGGAGAAGCGTGAACACACATGGGTTCCTAGCGCCCCACGGCGGGACAAGCGTGACATCACATGGGTTCCCAACGCCCCAGGGCGGAAGAAACGCAACAACACATGGTTCCTAACGCCCCTGGAGGCCCCAGGAGGCGCCAGGAGGTTCCACGAGGCCTCAGGAGGCATTGTTCTGTATTGGGATCTATGTTCGGGGGGCGCTTTTCGCCCCCCGCCACCCCCAGGAAATCCCAGGAAGCCCAAGGATTAATTTGTCTGTGTTGGGAATGTGTTCGGGGAGCGCGTTTCGCTTCCCCCCCGCCCCCCAGGAGGCCCCGGGAGGCTCGAGAAGCAAGAACATACATAGGTTCCTACCGCCTCAGGGCGGGACACATGTGAACGCACATGGGATCCTAACGCCCCAGGGCGGGAGAAGCGTAACAACACATGGTTCCTAACGCCCCAGTGCGGGAGAAGTGTGACAACACACGGGTTCCCAACGCCCCAGGACAGGAGAAACGCAACAAGACATGGTTCCTAACGCCCCAGGGCGGGGCAAGTTTGAAAACACATGGGTCCCCTTTGCACGTCCCGCGGTGCGCCCCCGTGGCACGTCCCCTGGCTCGTCGCCTAAGGCGTCCCTTGGGAAGTTCCGCGGCGCGTCCTCCTGGCATGTCCCCTGTCAATTAGCTCTGGGGCGGCTGCTATGTGCTCAGGCAGTTCGAGCTTAAGATCCAGCTCGGATGCAAAGGCGGACCCGACCCACAACGCTATAGAACACAATCGCGGCATGGCACATCGCAATTCAGCACGGCGCAGCACAGCACAGCCGTCGACACGGTATAGCAAGATCGATTTTTTCAGCATTGCAATTTGGCACGGTCTGTAGCGCGTCCCGTGGCGAGTCCTTTAGGCACGTCGCGCGGCGCGTCCCCTGGCACGTCCCGTGGCACGTCCGATGGCACGTTCCGTAGCGCGTCCCTTTGGCACGCCCCGCGGTGCGCCCCCATGGGACGTCCTTTGACACGTCGCCTGGCGCGTCCCTTGGGCCGTTCCGCGGCGCGTCTTCCTGGTATGTCCCCCCCTGTCAATTAGCTCTGGGGCGGCTGCTATGTGCTCAATCGGCTCGAGTCAAAGATCCAGATCAGTTCGGTCAGGACTCGGATGCAAAGGAGGACTCGACCCACAACGCTATATAGCACAATCGCGGCATGGCATATCTCCGTAGCCATTTTGGCTCAAGTTCGAAACGCGTCCCTGGCGCTTCGAGTTTGGGCATTGCCGAGGGGCGGCTCAGTGTCCATCTCTTGGGGACAGGCCCCAGCATCTGATCCGTCGTGCGCCAAAGCACACTTCGTTTTCGGCCACCGACTGTTGTTCCCGCACCCCGCTGCTTCAGCGCGATGGTCCGCAGGGCGGTTCGAAAGGCGCTGCGCAAGTCAGAGGAGAGAGATGATCATCGCACCCGTTCTGGGCGTCGTGCTGATCGATTGCGCGATGAACGGGGTCGAGATGCCTCGTCCTCATCGAGTGGTCCGCCTCGCCACATTCCCACCCGGCAGCG